GATTACACACTTTGGATTTGTGAGTATACTTGCTGCATATAGAGTTCTATAAAGAGTTAACTTAAATCAGTAGCATTGATTTGTTCCCCAGTGAGAAAGAAAAGGAAAGAAAAATGTATTTGCTAAGACAGCAAAAACAAAGTGAAAAAATAATGTTCAACTAGATCGCTGAAATTTATATTACATATAATTGATAGGTTAGTAGCTAAGAAATAGTCAACAAGAAGAAAAACAAAAACAAACAAAAAACCGCTGGAATTCCTAAAGGCAAAGAACATAAACTGGCTATTCACAGAAAATGAAACCTCTTGGATTAGACTAAAGTTATGTAGCCACAAACCAAGAAATGCCTGGAGCATCAGAAACTGAAACAAGAAGGAAGGATCCCAATCCTACCCCTCTTACCCCTCTACTCCCTACCCCTCAGCTCGCAGGCCTTCATCCCCTACCCACCTCCAGAGCTTTCTGAAGGAGTGTTGCCCTGCTGAACTTGTATTTTGGACTTCTGCCCTCCAGACGAGGAAATAAATTTCTGTTGTCTTAAGACATCAAGTTTGTGGAAATTCGCTATAGTAGCGCTATGAAATCAACACAACCGCCTGAGCCTCAGTAGTTCCATTTCTAAATCTAGTGCCTGGAGCACTGGGTCTGTATTCCCTCCTTTATAACAGATAGTTTGCAATTTACTATACGTGTGACTAAAAACTAAACCAATGCCCTAAGTAAAAACAAAACTAAACACCCAGAACTAATTTATAATAAAAGATCTATTTTTGTATGTAAATGCCATGGCAGGACTAAGCTAGAAGATACAGCATTTGCACCTATACACGGAATCTATGTAAAATGGACAGTTTCTAAACCAGAATGACAAGTGCCCTAACTGGCAACTCGAACATAAACAGTGCTGCCACTGGTGCCACAATTTTCCAAAAAAGTAAACTCTTAGCAGAGTTTCAAACAAAGCAAAGTATACTCTTTCCTCAACTTACACTGTAATTGTATTCCTAGAAAATCTGATGTATTTTATACCACCTTGCCAAAAAAAAAGACTGTGTTTAGACATAAAACAGATTCTTAACCTCTAATAATTGTACGAAGGTTTTCACCTACACATTCAATAGGACATGCAAGTCGTGCAGAATACCAGACAATTAACACCAGTAGGAGCCCTAAATACTAAGGTAAACAAAGGTAGCCCAACAAATTTCACTGGCATTTAAAGGTCTATCAAAAAAGAATATAAATTAATCACTATTATAAAAATAAACAGTATTATATAGTAATTAAGGAAATTGACTTGATCTGCAAGAATCAACACTGACAAATTTTGGTAACTGAACTGGAAAAAAACAGGTACGGGATACATAGAGTAAAATACCACTTGCATAAAGTTTTAAAACAAATCAATAATACAAGTAGCACACAGACATGCACAAATATACAGTAAATGTACAAAACCAGAATGAAAATAATACACTCCAAATTCAAGACATTGATTGCCTCACCTCTAGGAAGGGAAGAAGGAAAATGGGTCAGGAAGGTGTACAAAGGGAACTAACTGTAGCACAATTGTGAGACAAATCACTCCACGGAAAGCTGGAGAAGGATCACAAATGTTCAAATGAGTAGGGATCAAAAAGGACCCAGATCTGTTTGCCCCAGTGTTATCAATAATTTGATGAGGTAAAGAGGTGAAGGGAGTATACAGAAGAAAAACCAGGAATTATATATCTAAACTAACCCCAAACTAACACTATTCAGATAAGGCAAATTGGCTGGTTTCACTGCCCAGGCACTAGGCTTTATTATTCTCTGATTTTTTTCATTCTCCCAAATAATCTCAAGAAAAATGAACGACTTATTAACAAAAAGAAGAGAGAAGGAGCAGCAAAAATACTTTTTCATATCACAGATAAGATGTATCAACTATTAAAAGCGTAAGTGATAGGAGATGTAATTCTTTTGCTGCTCTTGAAAAACAAGTTACTTGGCCTATTATATCTTTCTCCAAAGATTCATTGAGAAAAGTCACACCTTCTTCCTAGCAATATATTTTCTCTCAAGTCATAAGGCTCTGTGGAGCAACATAAAATGTTGTGTTATACACTAAAGCCTTTCATGTTTACTATGTTCTTGCTATCATATTACCACAGTATTAAACATGAGATTACTACCAATACAAGACCACAGCAAAACACAATCGGGTGGGGGAGGAGGAGAATGGAGTGTCACTTTCTTTTTTTTTCCTTCTTCTTTTTTTAAAGATTATTTATTTATTTATTTGACAGAGAGACAGATCACAAGTATGCAGAAAGGCAGGCAGAGAGAGAGAGAAGGAAGCGGGCTCTCTGCTGGGCAGAGAGCCCGACGCGGGACTCGATCCCAGGACGCTGGGATCATGACCTGAGCCGAAGGCAGAGGCTTTAACCCACTGAGCCAACCAGGTGCCCCTGGAGTGTCACTTTCAACAGGCACACAGAGACCAAACATCTAATTTCCAGTTAACAGGAATCGGGAACAAATTAAATGTTACCACAAAGGGAAAAAAATTCAGGCAATAATATGACATGGGATATTCTATATCTGAGCGTGGTATCTTCAAAAGGCAATACACACAGAAAAAGTTGTACAAGGATGAATGTCCATAGTAGCTTTCCCTACAGCAGATGAGTATGGATGGGAAATAAGTTTGAGGAGACAGAGCTGGATGTGTGACCGCTCTGAGTATATCATTTTGTAGGTTTTTAATTTTATACCATGTAAACATAAAAAATTAAATTGAAAAGAAAACACTAAAATTTAAAAGAAGATGCTAAGAGTATCTATGGTCATATAATTCATCTATTCAATCAAAGCCAAATTAATCAAGCTTGCTTAACTTGTCTGGTTGCTAATGGGTCTTTTTTGCTCCTTCTCAGCATCAGAGCCATCTAACGGGCTTTCTGCTGGTCGGAAAACTTAGCTTCTCGTTGCAGAGCTGCCCCTAAAGAGTTGTGCAACCCTAAACAAATAACTAGCCATGCTAAGCCTCACCTGTGAAATGGAATTAAATTCAATGACAGCTAAGATTCTGAGAATTGTAAAATTCTGACTCAAGTGTTTGTTGAAAAGAGTTAAATAGCAATGTTTGCACCTGCATAATTTCTTCAGCTTCAACAGACACAGAACTCCATTGTACTAAAGTAAGTCACTTTCTGCAGTACAATCAACACTGAGGAAGAAAGGTACTGAAATCAAAAGTATTTCTGCAACTCTTTCTGGTAGTAATCAGTTACAATGAAGTACTTCCTCTGGAAGATTCTATTGGCAGTGCAGGGGAAGCAGCTGCACTCACTAGGCTGCTAAGCCCCATTGGCTGGCGGGGGAGGAAGCAGCAGCCAGTAACAAAGTCTGGTGAGGCAGGGCGTGCCTGAGGAAGAGTTTGACTGTTTCAGGCCAAGCCCTTCAGGAAGCTTCCTGTAATCTTTGGCTAAAGGAATCTTACTTTACAAAGAAGTTGCTAATCTTTGGCAGCTGTGGGATGAGCACTATAGCTTGCCACAGAGCAGAGTAAAATCTCTGTGGCTTTAGAGATAAACCAAGAGTGCCAGAAACATTCTTCCCCTCCACCCTGCCTCACAATCTGTCCTACCCAGCCTTGCCTTCTTTAAGACCTAACAAAAGATCTAGAACAATCTTGTGACCTCCAGGGAGGTAACATGGACTGTGTTACAGAGGCCTCATTCTAATGCGAGGAAGGACAGCCAGGAAAGCAGGGCATGGCCAAGGCGGGGTTAAGTGGAGAAAGAAGCCATGGGCAGGAAGAAGTAGGGAGAGCTTCTTGGGGCAGCATTCAGAGGCGTGGTGTTAGATACAGAAGTACCCTCGCACACATATACCTGCCCCAGTTTTGCTGGGAGATCAAAGAGTTGAGAGATAATAGGGCTTGGGAGAGGTGGAAGGAGAGAAAAGGGTCTGAATGGGGGAATTTTTGCTCCAAACTGCTGGCATGTCTAAAATGGGGGTATAGAAAGGTTCTCTGGGGATTTCCTCTAGAAGAGAGAGGCTGGAGCTTTGTCTGAAGATGAGAATGAAAGGGGTCTGTAAAAAGTGAAGAGGAGGGAGTTTAAGAACAATTGGAAGGGTCTTCTGAAATGATTAAGAGGGATGCAGATTTCTCATGCCATGGAGAGGTCCAACCTCTCTCACTTAAGGAAGGACATGGGGGCTCAAGGCCTCAGCTGGATTTCCACAGCAGGTCTGGGCACGGGATCCTCTTGAACAAGTCTGGTCCTCTCCAGCAAGTTCAGAGAATGAGCAGTTTCTCTGTAAAAGTTGGTGCCTTTCTTGGAGTGACAAGAAGGATAAGGGATTCAGGGACCTGAAATGGTTTCTGAGGGCCTGGCCCTGGGGGAGATGGCAAGGTGCTCTGTGCGATACTGACACAATTTAGTTGCTGGGTGTGAGGATTCCACATTGAAGACCGAGAGTAAAGGCTCCTTCACCAATCAGAAGCTTGGAAATTTGTCTGAAAGAATCTGCCTGCAGTGATTTGGAAAGAAAAGTCTCCCTTGACCGGAGAGAAACGGGACTCTTAGAGAATAGGAGCAGAGAAGAGGAATTTAAAGAGAAGCTCCTCCATCCCAATTCACTGGAAAGTTAGGGGCAGAAGAGGAGGGGCTTTCTGAAGTGGTCTGGAAATGATCTGATGGAACCCAAACTGGAAGCCGGGATAGAGCGAGGAGAGCGGAGGTGGGAGGGCAGGAAGGGACGGCGGGGGTGCGGGGGGTGGGGGGCAGCTCTGCGTGGCTGGAGTGGGAGGGCCTTCAGGATTTTGAAGTAGGAGGAGACAGAGGTGACGCGGGTCCACAAGGCTCCCGAGGGATGATTCGGAGAGTAAAGTTGGTTCGAGGTGACTCGGGGTTCAAAGAGGTGAATAAGGGAGGCGACCCCGAGTAAATGCCGGAGGCTCGCCGACACCCAGGCCGGGGGGGTGAGGGGTCGCGACCCGTACTCACAGAGCGGATCTCCAGCGCCAGAGCGCATTGCAGCGCTTTCACCTTCGGCATCCGCGCGGGGTGGGGCGGCGGGGAGGGACCCCGGCCGCGGGCCCGAGTGAGACGAGGAGACGCGGGGCGGGGCGGGGACGGGGAGGAGACGAGGTGGCGGCGGCGGTGGCAGCTGTGGCCCCCAGGCCGGGGCCCGCGGTCCAGCCTGGGTCCCGCCCGAGCAGCAGCTGTGCGCGGGGCGCGGACTCGTTGTCATGGCAGCCAGGAGGGGCGGGGCCGGAAGAGAGGCGGGGCGGGGAAGCGCCGGAGCTGCCACTCCTAGGCTAGAGGCCGGGGGCGGGGCTCGGCGAACGCCAGAGGCGGTGCCACGCGGGGAGGCGTGGCTTCCGAAGGAGCGGGTTGGGGCGGGGCAGTTCTTCTGTGACTTCAAACAGTGGGCTCAAAGCCAAACAAAGGAGAGAATAGCTAACCGTTTGCGTAGTGGGACAGTGCCCAGGTCAGGGAGTTGGACTCAGGAGCTCTGAGTTCCAAGGTGGCAATGGCACCTTGGGCTAGTAGAATCCTAGTGCAGCCTCAGTTTCCCCAACTGTAAAAGAATAGTAATTATTATTATTTATTTGAATTTCACAGTAGTTTACAAAGCCAGCATGAGATGAAATTGAAGATTAGAGAAGAGGTTTGCCCAGAAGAAGGTAGAATCAGGACTGGAACTCAGGACCTTTCATGTAAAATCTGTGGCCTCCCTGAGAACTGAGGTGTGAATCAGATCATGTTATTCTTCCTAGTCTCCTACTCTGTGATTCTGTTAGTGTGTCCCCCTCTCCCTTCAAGCTTCCGCATTCACTGAGTATTCACATATACTCAATCTACATTGCTTAAATTGACTGTCAATGCAGAGCCAACAATAAATCCATTTGGGAAGGGCTTGGGCCATAAACCAGCAAAGATGACAAGAATCTAAGAGATTGTCCAATCCAGTCTTTTTAAAAATCATTTTTATTATAAAATACATTATACATAGAAAAGTGTATAAAATATGTTCATCTTAAACAATAAAACAAATAACTATGCAACTAATACACAGGTTAAGAAACAGAACATTACTAGAACCCTAGAAATGCCCCAACCATTGCTTGCCTTCCTTGCCCTGGGAGAAACCACTCTCCCACCCCCTGACTTTTGTTTTACTAATCCCCTTACTTTTCTCAATACTTTTGCTATTAATGTATGCGTCTCGTTAATTTGGTGGGGGTGGGGGGGGGCAAAGGCAAAGGGAGAGAAAGAATCTTAAGCAGGCTCCAGCCCAGCCTGGAGCCAGACATGGGGCTTGATCTCACAACCCAGAGATCATAACCTGAGCCAAAATCAAGAGTCAGATGCTTAACCAGCTGAGCCACCCAGACACCCCTTATGTGTACATTTCTAAACTAGATGTTTTTAATTTGCTTCCTGTTGCTGATGTTACATAAATGAAATTATACTACTTGTATTTTTCTGTGACTTGCTTCTCTTACTACTACATTGTGGAATTCACCCAGTATCAATGCTGTGTAGCTGAAGTTTTTTATTGTTGGATAGTACTCCAGTATAGTGAATATTATTACTATTGATGGTCACTGGCCCTGTTTCCATTTTTAGTTATTACTAACAATGTTATGAACTTTCTAGTACATGTCTACTAGTGTGCGCATGTCCAGTGGGAGTAGATTAACAGGGTATTGGGTTTTGTACATGAGAGATTTTAATTGGTAATGCCATACCGTTTTCCAAAGTAGTTGAACCAATTATTGTTCCTGCTGGGAGTGCATAAGAGTTATTTTCCCACATCCTCGCCAATATTTGGTATTGTTTATGCTTTTAATGTTTGTATATTTGAGTGTGTGTAGTTCAGGTATCTCATTGTGGATTTGTCTTGCGTCTCTTATTATTATTATTCTTGAGATTCAGCGCCTTTTCCTGGTTTTATTAGTCTTGCCACTTTCTTTTTATGAACTGTCTACTAGTTCCCTTGCTATTTTTTTAGATTGTTTTTCTCTCACTTGCTTTCTGTCATGCTCCCTTGCTCGCTCTCTCTCTCTCACACTGATTTATAGGAGTTCTTTATATATCCTGACTACTAATCCTTCATCTATTATATGTGTTAACAAATATCTTCCCCAGTTCATGCTTAAGGTTTACAAATTTTCCATATGGTATATAATGAGCAGAATAGAAATTAAGTCATGGAGTATGAACAGTCTTAGTTTGACCAAAAAGTTCCAAGTTGCTGTCCAGAATGCCCTGCCAGTCTACACTCCCACCATCCAGTGAATTTTTTATTTCACTTAATGTATTATTCAGTTCTAAAATTTCCATGTGGTCTTTTTCTTTAGTTTTCACATGACTACTGATATTCCCTATTTGTTACTCTTAGGACCCTATTTTCCTTTACCTCTTGAATATATCCTTCTTGATTTCCTTGAAAATATTTAGAATAGCTGCCTTAAAGCCTATATATGTTATACCCAACATCTGTGCCATGTCAAGTTCTGCTTCTACTAATTGAATGTTTTCATAACTATGCATTGCATTTTCCTGTTTCTTTGTATGTCTAGTGATTTTTCTTATTGAACACTGGATATTTTGAATAATACATTGTAAGAACCTGGATTCTGTTCTTTCTCTGAAGAGTGTTGATTCTTATTTAAGCAGGCAGTTTAAATATGGGGTGATTACCTTAAACTTATACAGACTTAGTTATATACTTCACTAGTGCAGATATGTGGAAAGCCCAAGATGTTCTTAAAGCCCATCTAACTTAGTAGGACTCAACTTCCAAACTCTGTCTCTCCCAAACTCTGTCTACAACAGGCTTGGTTGTAGATTTTGTTTAGGCACATCTAGTGTAGGCCTAACTCTAGGATATTGTTCTTTCTGCTAGAGTGCAGACTTTCTGGTGTATCAGCTGGATTCCAGAAGTATTATACAAAGTATTAAAAAGATCTCTCCACTATGAAATGTTCAGTACTCCCAGTACCCCCAGTACTGCCTGATCCTAAGCACTTCTGGTCTGTTCCCAATCCTTAGCAGCCTCGAACTGGCAAGTCTCTGGTGATCTCACGTTGTGCTTATAAAGTTCATCCCTCAGCCTTGAACTTTTGGGCAAACCCCTCATAGATTTCTAGGCTTTCTGTGCACAGTACATGTCTTTGTCAGTGTGGGCTATTTAACAGAACACCATGGCCACCATAGTGACTTATAAATAATAGAAATTTATTTCTCACAGTTCTGGAAGCTAGAAGTCAAGATCAGGATGCAGCATAGTTGAGCTCTGGTGAGAACCCTCTTCTGAGTTGCAGATGGCCCTTTTAGTGTTTTATCCTCACACAGGGGAAGAGAGTGAGAAAGCTCATTGGGGTCTCTTTTATAAGAGCACTATTTGCATTCATGAGGGCTCCAACCTCATGACCTAATTACCTCTCCAGGGCCCTACCCACAAGTAACACCACTTTGGGGATTAGTATTAGGATTTCAGTGTATTAATTTGGAGGGGACACAAACATTCAGTCTATAGCAACTAGTTTAAAGATGTTCCCCTCTGTCATAGCCTTCAAGTTTCAGCCTCATACAAAAACTCCATTGCCAGTTACTAATCCCCAACCATGAAATTTTGGTTGAAAATTCTAATGGGCCCGAATTGCAGCCCAAATTGTGAATGGCACCACTATAATTAATGATGTCTCAGGAAGATTTATATTCACAGGCTGCAGATAAAACAGAAATAGTACGCTTCTGCACTTCCCCTCCTTTCATCCTTTATGAAACTTTATGGGAAATAAGTCCAATAAAAATTGTAAGCTCTTAATCTTTCCCAGAAATCCTACCTCATTGGATGAATACTTTGAGAGAATAAATTAGAGTGGGTTTTTTTCCCCCTTTATACATCTACTTTGCATTTATAAAGTGAGGCCACTTTCCCTGGCCAAATGGTCAGAAGGCTAGAGGCATTTTAAAAGATCTCTATTGTTGGGGCACCTGAGTGGCTCAGTGGGTTAAAGCCTCTGCCTTTGGCTCAGGTTATGATCCCAGGGTCCTGGGATCGAGCCCCACATAGGGTGCTCTGTTCAGTGGGGAGCCTGCTTCCTCTTCTCTCTCTCTGCCTGCCTCTCCACCTACTTGTGATCTCTCTCTCTCTCTCTCTCTGTGTCAAATAAATAAATAAAATCTTTTAAAAAACTAAAAATAAAAAGATCTTGGGGCTCCTGGGTGGCTCAGTGGGTTAAACCCTCTGCCTTCGGCTCAGGTCATGATCCCAGGGTCCTGGGATCGAGCCCCTCATTGGGCTTTCTGCTCAGCGGGGAGCCTGCTTCCTCCTCTCTCTCTCTGCCTGCCTCTCCACCTACTTGTGATCTCTGTCAAATAAAAAAAAAAAAAAAAAAAAACTTAGAAAAAAAAAAAAGATCTCTATTGTCTTCCATCCATGTTCAATCTCCATAAGGGAATTGATTTCTAACAAAGTCAGTGTCTTCATTAGTCATAAGACTATTAACAATAATAACAGCCATAGTAACTGTTCAGTTGACAGTTCATTTAATATTAGGCATTGTACAAGGTATTTTAGATAGATTATTATACACCTTAAACACCTCTACAAGAAAAGTATATATATCCCCATTTAATAAATGAGGAAGCAATTGCAGAGTAAATTAACATGCCCATACTTACACAGATAGTACCTGGTACCCCAGGAATTTGAACTGAAGCCCGCCCTTCTCCTGCTATAAAGTGCTACCTCTCCTTATTTATTATTTTAATATTATCAGTAACAAAATGGCCATCAGTTTAAGAAACAATACAACCAAATAAATGTAACAAGAGTGATTGTCATATTAATAGAATAGATGTTATGTATAATATGTCATTATGATCTTGCATTTGAAAAGATATGTGTGTTCCTGAAAGCATGTTTCTGTCATTTAAATTGATTCTCAGGATGATCCTGTATATTATAAAGTAAAACTATTTCTAAACTTCTAACACCTGACTGTGGGCTTATTTAAGTTTAAGAGAAACAAGGAAAAACAAGACTTTAAAATGACTTTAAATTTTTCAGATAGGAATAAAAGACACTTAAAGTTAATCCTAAGGAAATTTAAAAACAATAAAAAAATAAAAATTTCTGATATAGTTTGAAGTAAAAAGATCAAGCAGGAACAATCCTGTAATAAGAATTTTCTTATGTTGTGTCAACTATACCTTAATTAAAGGAAAAGAATTT